TTTAACTTGTGTGGTAGGCAGAACTTTTAATATACCCGCTAGGATTCCTGTCCCCAGGTTATTTAATGAATCCCTAATCTAGGTAATGCTATAAAAGGACATTGCAGGTGTAATTAGGTTACTAATCAGCTGACCTTAAGATAGAAAGATGACTGGGTGGGATCAATATAATCACATGATCCTTAAAAGCAGAAGAGGAAAGCAGGAAAATTCCTAGCAGAGAAGGATTTGGTGTAGTCTGAGGTGTAGGGGCCTACGTGCAAGGACCAGAGAGATGCCTCTAGGAGCTGACAGTGGCCCCCAGCTGACAGCCAGCAAAAAACGTAAGCTCATTCCTACAGCTGCAAGGAACTGAGTTTTGCCAACAATCTGAGGTGGATTCTGCTTGGAGGTAGATTCTTATCCAAGCCTGGCAATTAGAGCCCAGCTGGCCAACACCTTGATTTCAGCCTTATGAAATCCAGAGCAGAGAAACTAGAAGGAAGCAGCTTGGATTTCTGACTTATAGAACTGTCAGGTAATAAACATGTGTTGTTTTAAACTGCTGAGTTTGTGGTAATTTATTATGGCAGCAATAGAAAACAAATGTAATTTGTTTCCCCACATTGAGTTTTGCTTTTTTTTTTCTTAAAGAGATGGGGTCTCTCTCTGTTGCCCAGGCTGGAGTGCAATGGTGCAATCATAGCTCACTGCAGCCTTGAACTCCTGAGTTCAAGTGATCTTCCTGCCTCAGCCTCCTGTAGCCGAGAATACAGGCTCATGCCACCACGCTCAGCTAATTTTGAAAAAGTTTTTTTGTAGAGATGGGGTCTCACTATGTTGTCCAGGCTGGTCTCAAACTCCTGGGCTCCATTGATCCTTCCGTCTCACCCTCCCAAAGTGCTGGGATTAAGGTGTGAGCCACCATGCCCAAAGATGCCACCACCCCTGCAGCCTTAGGGCCACATGTGGCCTTCTGGATCCTGGAATGCAGCCTTTTGAATTCAAATTTTACAGAACAAATCATTTTAATAAAGGGATTTGTTCTGTGAAGTTTGGATTTGGTCAAGGGGCTGCACTTGGGTATCTGGAGGGCCTTGAGGCTGCAGGTTCCCCACCCCTCTTGCCATTTTTGACCTAATCTCCCAACTGTTACCAGAGTTAGCTCTTAAAAATATAAATCTGATAATTAATCTGCTTATTAACACAAGTTATATCCTTAACATATTATTTATAAATAATTTTATAAATAACATTGTGTGTCTGACTTTGGTTTATATTGACTATATAAATTGACTTTTGCTTTTACACATGATCAGTCATCTTAGCTGCTACCTTACATGGTCATCCATGTCTGATGGAGAAGAAACAATAGGGCATGTCTAGAAATAGCTAGAGTAGGCTACAAATTTAGTTATGAAAAGAATTATGATCATGTGAGAAAGAGAAGATCAATACTTCAGCAAAGACTGTGGTTATAAAAATGAGAAAAATGGAGAGGACTGTAGGAAGTATTGAGAAACATAAAATAGGCATTGTGCTTTTTGATATGTGTGTATATATTTATGTGTGTGTATATATGTATAAA